GTGTTTTTCTGCAGCCTCCCCCACCAGGAAACAGTTGAAGACAGAAGACCAGCCAGAAGAGGTGAAGGTAAATAATTCATTAAAATGATTATTATTTGTAGCCTAACTGATGGACATGCTGTATAAAGTACTGCTGGTCACTGGCGGAACTACCAGGGTCGCAACGGTTGCATTTGCGACCGGGCCCTGGTGTTCCGTCACTTGGGGGGCCCTGAAAGGCAGAAGAGGGCCCCGCACCGACATTTCAGAAAAAGATCGGCGTGACCTGCTGACGGGGAATGGGGTCCTCTTGAGTGGCAGACTGAGCAGCCAGTGACATTTCGCCGTGAGGTGGGAGAGGGCTGTGGGCGTGGCCTGCCCGTGTTGTAGTGGTGTGGAGTGTGGGAGAGCTGCGTGAATCCCTGGGAGGGGTTTCCGATGTTGTGGGCGTGCCCTAGGCTGCAATGTCGGGAAATTTGAATGATGAGAGCAGCCGCGTCTGCTGGCCAAGGCGGATGGTGACGGTAAAATTACGGGCCGGGAGCAGAGGAGGATTCTTTCCCAGTGGTCACATCACTCTGTGGACATCAGACATCCTCAGGTCGGTGGCTGCACTGCTGGAGCATCTTCATTTTACAGTAAGTGCATACAGAATGTGGGGGGAATTTATCAAAACTGGAGCTGACCGAATCTGGAAGCAGTTGCCCATGGCAACCAATCAGCTTCTATCTTCAGATTGTTCAGTTAAGCTTTGAAAATGAGAGAAGCTGATTGGTTACTATGGACAACCGCTCCAGATTCTGTCTGCTCCCGTTTTGATCAATTCCCTGTGTAATTTTTTCTTGGAGACAACTGGGTCACCCTATTGTATTCCATACGTCTTCTACATGATTTTCATACACATCACTGGCAGAATTACCAGGAATGCAGAGGTCACATGATTGACTGGGCCCTGTCGTTCTGTCGCTTGTAGGAGGGGGGGGGGTGGAGAGGAAGAGGAGGGCCCGTCCCCAGTAACCGCCGAGGCGCGCAACATTGCCTCGCCAGGGGGGCCCTTCATGGTTTCTTGCACCCCGAGCTTCCTAGTTACGCCTCAGCTGCTGGTATTTCACCCTCTATAGAGGACTACAAATCTCAGCAGTACATTATACATCAATGCTATGGTGTGTATTGGGGGGTTTGTGGTTTTTTTTCTTGCTTTTTGTTCCTTATGTCCGCCACTGGGTATACAGTATATGTGCGAGCCGATTGGCTGAAGATGACATTTTTCATCTCGCCATTCTCAGCTATGCGAGCTGGCACGCCATAGAGAGAATTGCAAGACACACTGCACACAAGAGATCCGCGCGCTGCCGTTTCCCTTTCCTGCTTCGCGTGCAGTGTGTCGCGGGCTTTATACATACGTACAGATACTTTCATTTAAAGTCTTCTCTAGAAACTCAAAAGTAGGGATGCACAGATACTTTTGGAGTACCAGTGCCGATACTTGGTATTTTCATGAGCACTACCAGGGTTGCAGCGGTTGCAGCTGGGACCTGGCTCTGGGGCTCCACCACTGTCCTGAAATCATTAGGCCTGGTTCACACCTGTACGTTTTGTAGCGCGTTCAACGCTCTACGAACGCTTTACAAAACGCTCAAACATGAAAATCCCATTGTTTTCTATGGGTCTGGTTCACACCTTGCCGTATTTCAGCCCGTCTGAACGCGCTACAAAATGGTCTACGCCTGAAAACGTACATGAGCTTCTTTACGTAGTTTTTGTTGCGCGTTTCCATTGGGATACAGCCAAGTAGCCCTCTGAAACGCGCATTTTTTTTACCGCGACAAACGCGCATATTCGATACGCCTAGGTGTGAACAGAACCTTAGTCTGTATTGTTTTAGAAAAACGGTCACGACAATAAATACAAATGTATCAGTACTTGTACTCGCAAAACTGGTATCTGTGCATCCCTTTATTTCTATTTATAAAACAAAATCATACAATAAAACAGAGATGTACAAATCCCAGGAGCTCCGTGTGCTCCTTACACATGACAGCGGCTTCCTAACTTTGGAATTTTTTTCTAGTCTAGTCTTGGAGCTGGAAAAGTATCTGTACTTGTACCGAGTACAGTACTTGGTATCGGTGCATCCCTACTCAAAATCATGGGCTGGATTTTGTACTTCGGTAAACATTGGGACTTTTTATTATTTGATGAGAGTTTGCTGTTAGGCAGGTGAAGGTTTGGCGGCGGCCCCTTTGTCTTGCAGGGGAAGAGACTGAAATAATTTGAGGTGCTCGCCATTAATAACCGTAGAGCGCGTCTCCACAACATACAACAAATATTAGGATTGGCACCTCAGCCAAGTGTGAGCTGGTGACTTCAGTAGCTGGAGATATGTAAATTCACCGGATGAACAAAGAGTGGCGGATCCAGGAAATCATTTCTACAGCAGGCATTCGTCTTGGGCCAACTAGGGACCTCTTTGTCATGCCGGTGGTTACATGTTGGTGGTCTCGTTTTCTCTTTGTGAGGAAGAGAAGATTATATTCCGGTTTCTTCTAGTGAGAATGGATATTATTCAGATGCCAGAACCGGCTCGGGGATTCCCAAATAAAATAATTTTAAGGGCTCATTCGTACGAGCGTGCACATCCGTTCAGCATGCACACCAGTGCAGAGATCTGTTTCCAGGAGGGACAGGAGCTGCATGTAATTGCATGCAGCCCCATCCTCCCCTAGGGATGTACAGGAGGCTGCATGCTACACAAAGGCCTGAACTTGCACATCCATGCAGATGTAGGTGTGCCCAAGTGCAGGCACCCGGATCCATGCAGATCAAAGTGTGACCAGGTGTGTCCAAGTGTGGGCACCGGGACCTGCACAGATGTGCAGATCTGGGTCTGTGTGTAGCCACGTGCAGCCCCGTCCTTACCTAGGGATGTACAGGCGGCTGCATGCAATTACACACAGCACCTAACCCTCCCAGGAGCAGACCTCTGCATGGGCGTGCATGCTGTACGGATGTGCAGGCCCGTGTCAATGAGCCCTACATCACCCTTCTTACACCAAGAACAGATTAAGAGGGAAATCAACAAATAAAACTCCCTATAAAACAGGAAATGGTCTATTTTAAAACCTCTCAATTTAAGTCTGCAGGAATACATTCCTGACATGTAACAATATAGAGCAACAGTATCATTTTGTAGAGAAGCTCCACCTTTTATCAGTCAAAAAGCCGTCCTTAAAGTGACATTAAACCCTCAGATTTTTTAACATAAACCAATACTGTAATGTGCGCCTTACTGTAATCCATGGTTGTTTCCCTTCTCTTTGCTGCTCTTCCTTTTAAATCTGTATCTGTTCTCATGCTGGGCAGAACTTCTGTTTTGCAGCAGACTGCCTTGTCTCAGGAATGGATACACGGTGTCTGTGTATACATTTCTATAGGCTTGTATTCTGAGCCAGCACTACAGGAAGAGGCCCTGAGCTGAAAAGGGAAGTTCTGCCCAGCATGAGAAGAGATGAGGATTTAAAAAGGAAGAGCAGCAAAGAGAAGGGAAACAACCATGGATTACAGTAAGGCGCACATTACAGTATTGGTTAATGTTAAAAAATCTGAGGGTTTAATGTCACTTTAAGCTCCAATCTGTGACTTTGCCTAGGCTGAGATGCCATCAATCTGCTGCAGGCGAGAGGAAGCATTTCCTCAGTCTCCCCTCCCCCAGTAATCAGACTGTTTTTGTTACTTTGTAGCCAGTCACAAGGTAACTTTGATGGCAAGTCAATGGCAGAGGCACCAGGATTGACATGACTGTGTCATCTCTGAGCCGGTGTTCTATCGAGATCTCCAACGACCTGACTTCCGGTTCAGTTAGAAGTAAGAGGTTTGGCCGAGAAGGCTGCACTGCACGAGCGCCACCCGTGCCATTTCCCTATACACGTAGTACACAGCAATAAAGTATTAAAATGAAGTAGGGTCAGACTAATCCAGCACGTTATTCATCCGAGTTGCCCCAGTAAATATGCGGGTGGTGCACGTACAGTACAGTGTTCTCGGCCAAACCTCTTACGTCTAACAAAACCGGAAGTCAGGTCGTTGGAGATCTCGACAAGTTGGAACTTTCGATAGAACACCAGCATCTCAGTTCACGAAGTAGATGGTGACCCTGGATGATGCCTGAACAAAGATGGCTCATTACTAACCATGGAAATATCCGATGACATGTCCACTTTAAAAGAAACAAGAAGCTCTATAAAGTCAGTTGAACTGATAAAAAGTCGAGAGGTCCACTAAACCTCAACGACAAAACCCGGATTATATAAAAGGAATAATTCAGAACCATTTCAGATATTTGTGTAAATTGTTTTAGGAGTTTATTAAAATTCAAGAGAGCCATAGCCAACAGGGAAGACATTTCCTGACGTCCTGCCCAGTAATCCCATTGGTGGACGTCGGTGCTGAGCCTCCCTCTAATCTAGAATGGCCAACAACGGATCAGCATGATGTACTACTATCCCAAACCTCTCCGATCTTGTACAGATGGGAACATTTACATACAGATCGGAGAATGGCTCGAGGGACATAAAGGTCATTTGCATCGGCGTTTTCTGGCCCTTTATTTGATGTAAAAAACAGGCAAATGCTCAAAACTGCACACGTACAAGAAGAGAGCAGACGGGATATTTAGTGGCAACGTCAAATCGTGTTTCATCATTTCTTTTTTCCCTAAACAAATCATTTGTTAAAAAAACAAAAAACAAAAACAAAGCCAAAAAGTAAAAAGACAAAAAACAAACAAGTTAAGAAACATAAAAATTCCCTTCATTGCCAGAGGAATTCATCCACCCCATCCATACAGTTGTAGTATTATTGTCTGACGTTTAATAGTCTGAGAAGGCGGCAATGATGACAGGAAGTGGAGTAGCGCGTAAACGGGAAGTAATGCTGAGTGAACTCGGGCCAAGTCACAGGCCGCTGGCGGTGACGTCACAAGGAAAGTGCCGATGACGTTCAAGGCCGCGGGGGGTGCCACGGATAAAACAGGTGAAGTAGTAGAAGAAGATCTGTAGTTAAAATGTCTCTAGTGCAATTTTACAAGTGATACAAAAAAGATTAAAGAAGAAAAAAAAGCAAAAAGGCGACACATGGAAGAGTCCCAATGCGGCCGTCGCGGTCACAGTGCATCGTCCGCGGCAATATTCTCCAGTGCAAATACTTCCAAAATATGAGTTCTGCAGGAATAAAAACAGAACAAACCTCATAAAAAGAAAAAAAAAGGAATTGAAGGCGCCGCATCCCTCCCTGAGAGTACCAAAATCCGACTGTCTGGAGGATTGACCCCCAGCGGCAGCCGTAGCGTCCATTTTCAGAGGGAGGGCTTATATTACTGTGCACGGTCAGGGCGGGGCCTCCAGCCCTTATGGTGGCTCCAGGCAGGCGGCTACGGAGCTGGATCTGTCCTTATCAGGAGGGGCCGGCGCCTCAACATTCGTCCTCCTGGTACATTGTCTCGTCCAGCTCCTGAGATTCCAGGTGCTCCAGTCTGTCTGTCCTGCCGCTCATTATCTCCTCCGGTGTCTTCATGAACCTGCCAGGAGGGGAGAAGGATTACATTAGCAGAAGGTTTCAGAGTCAAGGATTTTTCAGGGATAATGGGGAGTAAAATGAATGACAACTTCTTTTATTTACTTCCTTTTGGTCCGTTAAATATTCAATTGAAAGTGTTTTGTTATATCGGTTCAATAAGTGCAAAAGAAAAATCTATTGATCCGGCCAGAAATCCAGCGCTATTCTGCGATTGGTTGTGAGCCCTGGCTAGTTCTGCTCTGGGGACTCCAGAATACCTCCCCTTGTGTTATGAGAATGAAGGGGAGTCGGGTCTTAACACATTTCCTGCCCTAGAGTGACAACGCTGCTCCTCCATAGACATAGTACAGTGGATGAGCGTTGTCACTAGGGATGCACCGATACCGATACTAGAACCCGGCTTCCCAGCCAATCAGGAAGTTGGGCGGCAGGTAATGATCCGGCTTCCTGACAGGGACTGGTAAGATTCCATATAATGCATCTACATTGCAGCCTGCGTCAGACTGAAAAGCTTGCGTTTTAGGCAGGAATTTGACAAACATGATTTGGGATGTAAATTTGGGTTTTTTAGCACACAGGGTCTGAGGTGTCACAGTCTCCTATGTGTACATGAGGCTTAGTGCATTTTGGCTTAGTGCAGCACATAGTACAGGGTCAGCAGGGGTCTGTCAGAGGCAGCATTGTCCATTACCTGAACAGTAACCTCTGTCCCGGCTCCTTGCGGATTATGTTTAGTTTGTAGTAATGGCGGAGCGCCCGTGACATTTTCTCATACGTCATGTTCGTTCTGTTCTGTTGATTAAAAAAGAAAAAAAAAATATGAGCAACAGGAAATAGATGAATGAAACAAAAGAGTGTTCGAGAGCAAAGTAAAGAGAAAGAGAGGAGGGAGGGCACATGAAGAAGAAGTCACCCGCACTCCAAGGTCCAACATGTAGAACGCCTTTTATTGAGATGCTAAGCAATCATAGTGACTCGGAATTGTAAATGGTCTCATCAGGTAAACACAGTGACAGTGATTGGTCACTTTGCCCGATGACGCGAACATTTACAGTTCTGAAACGTTGCTTTTTGCACTGAGTCACTATGATTGCTTAGCATCTCAATAAAAGGCGTTCCGCATGTCATCATTTACTGTGATTCACGCAGCGCCATCTGCAGGGCATACCAGCACATTACATTGGGATTCCAGTCTGGAGTGTGGTGGATTTTGCACTACTAGCAAGAAAGCACGCGAGAGCGGAAGGGAAAAAAGAGAGCGCGCGAGAGCAAGGGAAAAAGAGAGTGCACGGGAGCGAGGAGAAAAGGGAAGCGTGCGAAAGCAAGGGAAAAGGGAGCGCAAGGGAGCAGCAAGACAGAGAAAGTGAGAGACATCTCTGAAGAGTGGACGAGCTTGTGCATGAGAAAGAGAAATCTAGGACTTATAAATAAGCGGCTTTTCATTGTGCTTTGGCACTAAATTCTTATCTCATATGTGAAAGTTTGCAAAGGAATATTATCAAATGAAAAAATAAATAGCATGTACAACTTATTTAGGAATTTGGAGGTGGGTGGGGGCAGATGGGAAATTCAGCCACCCCTGAAAAGAACATATTATGCCAGATGTACGGTGGGATGAATTTTTAGCAACAGTTAAATAAGTAAATACATAAAAGCATCTTTATAACATTTGTGATCACCAAACAGATATTTGGGAATTATTTTTACTGCAGTGGTACAAACTCGTGAAAGCTTTATAAATAGGGAGGATTGTTGACGGAGGAGAGAACGAGAGTTAATTTGGACGCGGCGTACGGAATGAACTATTTTTGGTGACAGTCCGCCACATGCAGCCAAACAGATCGCCGTAGAGGAAATGTCAGGAATGTCTCAGATACCTTATGATTCCCCCACAGTCTCGCCAGGCCGTTGGGGTCCATGATACGGAAGACCATCAACTCCTTATCTTCCCAACGGATGAAGTTCTCATATCTGGTGTCAGAAAGGAGCTGGTACACATAATCCCAGAGCAGCCGGCAGTCTGGAGAAAATAAGATGACCGTGATAAATCCTCAGCTTGGGAACTATTATCTTAAATTTTCAATCACAAATCGCTAAAGAAAAAACATTAATTCTTTAATATTCTAAATCTTTGGTTTATTTAATTAACCCCTTCATTACCAGAGGGCATAAAGATGACCAGATCAAATTTAGTATACGTTGGCCAACTTTACAAGAACTCTATGACTTGATATGTCAGCCTAAAAATACATTTTTTAAAGCACATGTAAGACTTTTACTTGATACAATGGTTGTAATATATATTCTACTTATTTTTAATTTGTACCCCCCTGGGGGTTTTGTTTTTTTTTTTTTCCCTCTATTTGTTTTCGTTTTTTTTTTAACTTTGGAATCTCCCGCCGGTTCCGCCCCCCTGCAACGCGGACGCTCGCAAGGGCCGGAACCCGGAAGAAGGATGCCGGCATCGGCCAGAGGACACAGCGCGGCTCGAGGGGCAAGGTAAGAGACGCGCTGTGTATTCCTGAGTGTGGCTCGGGGTTACCGCTTATGATACAGAAAATTAACCCCGAGCCACACTCGGGAATACCGCCAAGGAGTTTAATAAAGCAAAATGTATTTTTTATTATAAGGCAAAAAATTTTTTATTGTAATTTTTTAACACTGCATTTACTAGGGATGCACCGATACCAGTTTTTCAGTAGCGAGTAAGATTACCAATATTTTTTTCAGAGCTTGCCGATACCGGAAGTCCCATCAAGGAAGCCGTGTAACGAGTCGCCGCCCTGCTTCCTGATTGGCCGGGAAGCCGTCGCCATGCTCCCTTGTCACCTGGTGACGAGGAAGCATGGAGCCTGGCTTTCTGGCCAATCAAGAAGCCGGTAGGCAGGTAATGACTCGCTGCCCAGCTAATCAGGAAGCTGGGCGGCAAAACATTATCTGCCCCCCTGCTTCCTGATTGGCCCAGGAAGCCAGCTCCATGTTTCCCGATGACGAGGGAGCATGGAGCCGGCTTCCCGGCCAAATCAGGAAGCCGGGCAGCGTTTAAATGGACTTGCCACATCAGGATAGTACCGGTGCATCCCTAGTATTTACCTTATGAAAGCCAAAACTTTTTTTTAGTCAGTGTCCTATAGGTTAGATTTCTCTTCTCTTCCCGTTATCCCGGATTCACAAAAGCATGCGATAGGAAATCTCTCCAAAGTGCCCTTTAAGCTAGGTATACATTTGTAGATGTTTTTATAAACTTTCTGGTCAGAACGTTTGGTGCTGCCATCAGAGACCTGAGTAATGTCATCTGAAATTTCATTTTGGAAAGTAATTGAGTTTCCCGACTTGAAAACCACGTTCACCGTTAGTTATTTGTTGATTCAACAAATATTTCTCATTCTGCTCGTTTGATATTTTTTGTCGCTACAGCCTAAATCAATCTTCAAACTGACCCCATTAAATATATATAAAAAAAAAAAATCTAAACAAATATTCCAAAAAAAGATCTTCTAACAAAAATACCTACTGGTGTATGCTCAGCTTTAGACAGTTGTCACCAGAGCAGGTTTCTTCCCTTTGGGAAGATTTTCCCTCACCTCCTGTTCCAGTGACAACAACAACAACAAATATATATATATATATACACAACCACCACATAGAAGTACTGGTAAGCTCCAGATATTAATCTTTGGTTTTTGGGTCTAGATACATTTTAACACTCAGCGTGGGTATTCGTGCATCAGAACAGTAATTGCCAGATGAAAGTTAAAGTACTGATGGCACTCAGAGGATTACATGGGGGATACTTCTTTTGTAGAACTGTGAATTGCTGATGGGAGCCTTGATGGTCCCGGAGCTCTCATAGGACAGCAGGAGAAAATACAAATTTATATTTCAAAGTTTGCATGGACACAGTAAAGTAGCCAATGTATTTATTCTTAAAAGTCGATATTTTTTAGCATTTTTTTTCTTTTGTCCACTAAGATGAAGGTTCTCATGAAGGGTACTTACCCGCTATTCTCCCAATAGGCATGGTCTGTTCCTCAGGAGGAGACATGGAAACCATCACATGATTAATATACGCCATGTCCTCACGATGCGACAGATTCATAGGCTTCCCTTCTCTCTGCTGGCCGTCTTCCATGCCCAGCCGCGGCTGTTTGAACTCCACGGCATGGCGGGGGTTAAGAAGCAGCGGGTGCATGATGGGGCTGGGCATCAGCTGAATAACCCGCGGGTTCTCCTGCCTCGGGCTGTTGGGTTTCGGCTGCGTGTCAGCGGGGCAGTGATTGGCTTCAGCCGGGGAGACGGATAAAGGGTAGGTGTCGTGATTGTGGTGGTTGGTTTCGCCCTGCAGGCGGTGCAGGCGTTCTGCAGGGGAGGGGCGGCGTAGATTGCTTTCCAGTGGCGAGCGGATTGGGCGGGACTCAACATCCGGAGAGGCGTGGTGGTTGGTGAGAGGGGAGAGGGGTCGATGCCGTAGCTCTATAGTTGGTGTGTTCTGTGGAAGGACTTCAGAGATGGCCCTTGGAGGAGGTCGGTGTTGGATATGGTCTAAAAAAAAAGAGCAACAGGCATGACATGAAAGGACAAAGTCACATGACAAATTCCCTTCCGCTACAAAATGCTCATAGAAGAATTACTGTGATCTCTGAGAGAGGTAATAGACACCCGGAAGTGGTACAATGACATCTGAGCATGGTGCACTGTTCTATAGCTAATGACAGGTCCACTTTTAGTTCAAGATGCAAGCAATACAGTATGTTGATGCCTGAAGAGGACATCTAATGGTCTTCAAAGCTTGCATCTTTAACCACTTAAGTGCATCACAAATATCAAACCTTCTGCACCAGCAAAATAATAAATTGGCCTGTGCGTGATAAAAAAAAAAAAAAAAAGTAAATTCAATGCAGGACCTGCAAAAAGGTTTATACTTGGCCCACCCCGTTGACTCCTGTGACTCCTTCCACTAACCCTTACATCAACACACAGTGTCCTGTAGTGGTAAAGGGGCCAGCAGGAGGAACCACAGAGCGCAGAGGGAGAGCAGGCAACTGAGATTCCCAAAAAGACTCTTCAAGTGGGTGTTACTCATGAACGGGCGGCAGAACGGCATAGTATAAACCCTCTTGGTTGGTGGGTTCTGCTTATGACATTTAGAATGGGTGATGGGGGGGGGGGGGTTTGTTAAAAAGTTGTGGTTCTGTTTCCTCCCACCATGTCAGAATTCTTCCACACACGCTAGACTCAGCGCCTACCTTCGTGATGGTTGTGGGCGATTATTAATTCGGAGTGGCCATGAAGAGAGTTTCCAGTGTGAAAAACAGGCGCTCGCGGTTTTCGATGACGCAGGATTTGCTGCAGAACCTCGTACAAGACGTCACCTGTGGAGAGAGGACCTCACGTTATTGCATCCTATACATTACTAGCGTGAAACTGTACCCGGCACATACACACTGGAATGCAAGTTTTTTTATATTAATGATCAGGAGCCTGCTCACGGTGACCGAGAGATATCCATGGCAGCTTGGCCAGTTTGCTGGGAGTGTGCAGTGAGCGCCCTCTCAGCACACGACAGGGAAGCCCCATGAATGGAGCTATGAGGCAGCCTGGTGTTAAATCCCAGCCACTGTAATGCCCTATGTACCTTACACTGGCACAAAGAGGTCAAACTGGTGTAGTACTACTTCTGTTCACTAGAGGGCTCCACTATATGCTTCCCCCTTTTATTCTTGCAAGCTGCACGAACTCTAGTCTGCTTACACCGCTCAGCCATAACATTATGACCAGCCTCCTAATATTGAGCAAGACCCCAACAGCCCTGACCCGTCGAGGCATGGACTCCACTAGACCTCCAAAGTTATGCTGTCGTATCTGCCACCAAGCCGCCAGTAGCAATAGAAGAAACATACATTTTTTTCTATGCTTATCTTTTAAGTCCTGTAGGTTGCAAGGTGTGGCCTCCTTCGCTACCTACGTGCATCAATGAGCCATGACCACCCATGACCGTGTTGCCAGTTCTTCTTCCTTGGACCACTTTTGGTAGGTCCTGACCACTGCAGACCAGGAACATCCCACAAGGGTTGCAGTTTTGGAGTTGCTCTGATCCAGTCCTCTATACATCACAATTTGGCCCTTGTCCAAGTCCCTCAAATCCTTACACTTGTCCATTTTTTCTGCTTTCAATACATCAACTTCAGGGACAAAATGTTCACTTGCTGCCTAATATCCCCCCCCCACTTCCAGGTGTCATTGTACTATATTTTCAGCCTCCTCGTCATAGACAGGACCATCCAGCAAGAGGATCGTTTCCTCTTTGGGAAAACCTTACGCTGGCTCCATACCAAACACATTATGTCAACGCAAAGGTAATGCATTGGTAACGTGCAGTATATGTAAGTTGCCATTCATCCTGGAAGGCAGCCCAACAAATATACTGTAGAACCAACTGGAACCTGGGATACAGAACACCACAATGCCCAGATGTGAAGCCAAAAATTGTGTAGGCATCTTTTTTTGGGCCTTGACCATTCAAAATGAACGCACACAAAATGAAAAGGGGCCCTTAGTGAAGCCTGAATTGGTTTATATCAGAGGTATGCAAACTCCGGCCCTCTAGCTGTGGCAAAACTACAAATCCCCATCTAGCATCTGCCTCTGGGAGTCATGTCTGACTGCCAGAATCTTGCAATGCCTCATGGGATTTATAGTTTCACCACAGCTGTAGGGCTGACCCCTGGTTTATATGACATTCTGGCCTGAAACCATTATATCAGCGCCTTGTGCAGTATCCAGTCACATTTAGACAGAGAAGTCATTGAGGAGGTACTCTGACCCTCTCAGTGCTCGTCCTCACTGATCCCTTTGTGACATTGCAAATGTTCATTAATCTGCGTGGCGCTCACACCTGCGTTTAGCCTCACCTGAGTGCGGACAGCGGTATCGGAAGTCTTCCTTCGTCAGGAGGAGCAGCGCCTTCCCGTTCATCTCGAAGGTGTTATTCTCGATGGGGCGAAGGGAGAATTCGTTCTCTGCCCAGCGCAGCCACTGGGACACGTCCTCCCGTGACCAGTGCGAAGGAGGGAGACCTAACCCAAAAAATAAAACAAAACCATTATAACCATCAAAATATCAACCTGAGCCCCCCAATGCAGCGTGAGATCTCCGCAATCCTGTACAGACACCACAGCTGTGTAGCAGAGTGTTACTTGTACCCCTTATACTGAGTTATTTTGAGGGGAATTTATCAAAACTGGAGCAGACAAAATCTGGGAGCAGCTGTGCATGGCAACCAATCAGCATCCACCTTTCATTTTCAAATCTTGATTGAAGAGACTGAAGAGAGAAGCTGATTGGCTGCCCTGCACAGCTGCTCAAGATTTGATCAAATTCCTCTCTTTGTGTTTTATGAAAAGCTGAAGAACCCACCCAATACAAATGCTTGTACAAAACGGAATTTGTCCCTTTCATTGATCTGTCATTTCATTGGTCAGTGGGCACTCTCCGAGATGAGATCTGACCCCCCCGGCTCTGTTCCCAGACACTGTGGGCGCAAAAATTAAACTTTGCCTGTGTTGGCAAAAATCCTAGCACAGGCCCTGACTGTGGCGGTTTTGGGCGTGCAAAATGTTCAGACCGCTGCAATCCAAATCGACCAATTGGACAGAACTTCTGTAATCTGTAGCGACCAATCAGCTTTCAGAACTTGAACAGCTCTCTGTGCAATGCTTTCCAGATAAAAACAGTGGCCATAGGTACAAGGACGGCTAGGCACAATCAGAGCATCCCGGGGGCAGCACAAAAAGATGAGAAATTGGGCCAGCCAAGTGTTCACATTTATTCCCATGTAACAGGGGAGGTGGGAGTGGCCAGTAATACTTACTGAAGGAAGGGGAGGGGACAAAAAAGTGAGAAAAAAGGGTCGTCCTATAGGAGGTGTAAGAGTTGCTGGTCCACGTCAACATTGTGTGTCCAGTCTAGTTCTGACAGGAGCCAATGACAGCAATGAATGAATGAAGCATGCGTTGTGTTTAGAATGAAAGCTGGGGGCCGGGTGTCTGACTGCACCCAGATAACATTATCAATCCTTGCAAGATACAGAAACGCCCAGCGGCCACATTGCGCTAGATCGGCCCCTTCTGGCAAATCACATGACCTGCTTTCTCCCAAAAATTAGCATATATTTGTTTCCTTTTTTTTTTTTTTTTTTTTTTTTTTTTTTTGTACCGGATATTTAAAGGAAGTCAAGATGACAACTTTAAATTCATGATGCAAAATGTAAAACCTTTCCAAATATCTATAGATTGCACAACACCTAATAAAACTGGAGCAGACAGAATCTGGAGCAGCTGTGCATGGCAACCAATCAGCTTATCTCTTCTTTGTGCAACTAAGCTTTTTAAATGTAAGCTAGAAGCCGATTGGTCGCCATGCACAGCTGCTCCAGTCTTTGTAAGATTCCCCTCTCCTTGCGTTTTACAATTTGTTACCAACAGGGATGCACCGATATATATAATCGGCCGAAAATGGCACTTTTGGCATAATGCATAAAGTGCAATTTTCTGGCGGATATAGCGGTGCATCCGTGCTTTCTCACCTCGCTGGCCGCTGCTGTGTGTCCCAGTGGGGAGGAAAGAAACTGACAGCCGGCTGAGCGCTGCGGAAGGAGAGCGCTGTGAGCGGCCGGCGTCTCACCTCCCCGCCTCCTGTCACGCATCAGAGGAGAGCGGCGTGGGCGGAGACAGCCAGTGCTGTCACAAGAGGCTGAGCTCTCCTCCCGCAGCGCTCGCTCAGCCTCCTGCGATAGCTGTCAGGAAGGAGAGCGGGTACAAGCAGTCATTGATCAGTGAGTGTATATAATTGAGGACATGGTATGGTTACTATATCCTCAATTATGAATGAATGGGAGTGATCTACATCCCCTCTACATCACATCTACATCACCTCCTGTTCATTCATGATTGTAGTTATAGTAACCATACTCTGTCCTCATGTTATGAATGAACGGGAACACTCAGTATAGGGGATTGCTGTTCATTGATAACAGGGGACACAGAAAAAGAGATTGAGGACTCTGTGTGTCTCTGAGCACTTTGTGTCCTCAATCTCTTTTTCTATTTAAAAAGGGAAATATCCGGCGTCTGTTTAGACTCCTAATAAAACTCCCCGAAGCCCCTAAAAGTAAAGTCAAAAAAAAAATATTTAATAAAAAATTTAAAAAATAAAATAAAACCCATTTTCAGTTTCGGTCTGACATATTTTTTTTTTACATTTCCGCTTCATTTCGGTTTTGAAGTTTTCATTTTGGCCCACCTCTAGTTACCAGATTTTATTTTCTCAGCTTGTCACAATCATAGTCTGACCTCCTTTTCCCCCAATATGGCAGCTAACAAAGAACAATCAAAAGACACAAAGGAGGTGAAATGTAAGAAGACTGGAGCAGATTTTCGCTGAGCGCTCATTGTTGTTACGAAGAAACTAGTTGGCTTCATTTGCAATGCAAATGTCTTTTTACATCCTTGCTGTACCATATTTTCATTACTATATGTGCAAATTTTTATTTCCCTCTATAGGGACTTCCTGTATTGTACTGCACTCATTCAGCCTCCCAGACCTCCACTGTGGCGATGGAAATAGAGGCTGCATTGTTTAGGAAGCAACATTAAAGTTTAGTCACTGCGTACTACTAAGCACAAATATGTCTGCCCAATGTGCATACATCATTATAATCTATACATAGTAATTGGGTTTCGTCTTAGAACAATAAAGTTTTAAAAGTATAATCTGCTTAGATTTTGGCCTCCCTGGTTCCTCCCTCATCAACATGCTAATGACACCCAATTTTAGATATAGTGAGGTCATCACTGGGTCCTTGTGCTCCTTGATGCATTACAGAAAGATTATGGCTGGTGGGAGGGGCCAGCAGTACTCCTCTCAAGAGTCCTCAGTCCTGATACACGCAGTGGGCCGGCTCTTGGGAGGAGCTATGCAAATCTCAAAATGCCTTAATGGGTGGCTGTCAGTTTGGAGGAGTGGGTGCACCTAGACAGGTTTGCATGCAGAATGCTCGAGGTAACGCCCACATGTGATGTGATTGGAAGAACCGAAAGCCTGGCTGTCCCTGGCCCGCCCCTTTCATTCATTGGATTTCTGCTCTTCCAATCATGGAGACTCAGCATGACTGATGTTGATCATGCCCTGCCGGACCAGTGGCCAGTGGCGTAACAACCTGCGGGAGGGAGGGGGTTAGCAATGGATGCGGCTGCCCTGTGCGCAGAGATAGATGAGAGCATCAATGACCGGGCACAAAGGAGCTGAGCCCGGATGGCCGAGCGGCGAACACAGGGAGCGCATCAGGTAAATTGTGTGGCAG